AAAATTTTTAAATAAAAAAATAAAAATGAAATAAAGACCTGTATCCACAATGCAGCAGCAGCTGTATAACGTCCGTCTCCCGCCTCTTCACCGCATCCATCATGGCCGTCGAGAAGTGACCAGCCGGAGAAAGACATCTGATGGAGGCTCCGGCCTTCAACAAAGGCGCTATATGGTTCTTGGGACCGCAATGAAGGGCTAGGTACAACGGCGATATCCCCGCAGAGTCGTAGACATTGACAGGAGCCCCATGTCTAATCAGGATGTTTATCACCTCCACTGAACAGCGTTTACACACTGCCTTGTGTACGTAGAGAGAACTCGGGTTACCAACGTCCTGATGCTTCTCCACAATGAGATATTTGAGCACGACGGCCACATTGGAATTGGGCGTGCTGTTCAGAGCGGCATCCACGAGAGACAGCTTCTCTTCCTCACCCTCTCTCTTAGCGGGGCGGTGATAGGGATGGTCACGGAACACCCCACTCACCCCGTGGTCTACCAGGAAGCCTACGATGGACAGCTTGCCCTGAATGATGAAATGATGAAACAAAAAGCTGAAACAACCAAACACACCAAGCAATTCCCGAAACACCAGCAAAAAGTCAAACATAAGGTAATACGCTGTATTTTGTTTCCTTGACAAAAGAACTGAAAGCGATACAACGAACCATGGATGACAAAAAGACTCAAAGATGACAAAAATTACTAAGGGCGACAAAAAGAACCAAGGACGACTAAAGAAAACCAAACACGAAAAGAGAACCAAGACCTACAAAAGAGAACCAGGAACGACAAAAGAGCCAAGAACAAGAGCCAAGAACAAGAGCCAAGAACAACAAAAAGAGCCAAGAACAAGAGCCAAGAACAAGAGCCAAGAACGACAAAAAGAGCCAAGAACGACAAAAAGAGCCAAGAACGACAAAAAGAGCCAAGAACAAGAGCCAAGAACGACAAAAAGAGCCAATAACGACAAAAAGAGCCAAGAACGACAAAAAGAGCCAAGAACGACGAAAAGAGCCAAGAACGACAAAAAGAGCCAAGAACGGCAAAAAAACAACAACAACCCCCCCCCCCTCAAACAAACAAGAACGACAAATAGAATTAAGAACGACTGCAGGAATTAAGGCCGACAAAAACATCTACGGGCGACATTACCTTAACCATCGCCTTTTTCATGAGGGTCGTATCAGGGTCCATCTCCCTGCATCGGGACAACATCATCCGGGCCAGGAAGTCCGAGTCTGCGATATGAAAAATAAATACATAAATAAATAAATGAATAAATAAATAAATGAATAAATAAATGAAAGAATGAATAAATAGATAAATAGATAAATAGATAAATAAATGAATGAATGAATGAATGAATGAATGAATGAATGAATGAATGAACTAAAAAAATATACATGTATATCGTGTGCAAGCTGTTCAAATGTATTCAACATTAACTTAAGTAGTAATTGTAATAATAATGAATAAATGACATTTATATAGCGCTCAACCCCAATTTAAGTACACGGGCTCTGAGCGCTTTACAATACAGTACAGCGTGCAAAAGTAACATAAAACATGTTTTGACTGAAACAAAATTACTCCAAATATTCATCTCATTAATTTAAAAACAGAAACAGAATAGAAGAAGAAGAAGAAGAAGAAGAAGAAGAAGAAGAAGAAGAAGAAGAAGAAG